TCGCACACGCATCTAAGCGTGTCAATGACAATAAACATACATATATAAATGTCTCTTTATGACATAGTTGAACACAATTTTAATATTGCTCTTTTATATATTTTGATGATATATGCATATTTTCATGTATTTTTCAAAGGAAATATACAATCTACCATATATATATATATATATATATATATATATATACAAGGTGGTTCAAAAGTCCGGCAACGGTCAATATGTCCAAGAAATAGTGGTCTTATGAATAAAATATAAAATTGCAGGGTTCAACCCGGGAAAATTTTTTATATATAATTATATCTAAATAATTATATAATTATAAATAATTATATGTGAAATATGTTTATTTTATATATAATTAAATTTATTTATATATAAATTATGAAGTTCATGTATAATCTCATGTCAAGTTATATATAAAACATTATATATATTTATATATGTGAATACTTATTTTATATGCAAATATATATATATATATATATTTATATAAGTATATGTATTAAAAAGTTCTTTTATCTAATTATAAATAGACATATTTCATATTTTAATTTTGCAATTATATGTGTAACGAAGCACCTTTCCCGACGCCACGGATCGGCTCGTCGGTGCCAGGATTCGGGAAGAGGGGAGACTCAGATTTACAATGACACACGGTTGCTCTGGTAAAAGTAGAGTTTATTCGGGGCCACCTTCCTGTGGTTCTCCCGTGATTCAAACCATTATACACAGCACAGTATAATCGGACGAAACGCGACCAGATGATACAGACGCGTACACGACTTATTGCTAGGATTGACAGATAGAAATATTACGGACGAGACGCGACCAGATTATACGGACGCGGACACGACTTATTGCTAGGATTGACGGATAGAAATATTACGGACGAGACGCGACCAGATTATACGGACGCGGACACGACTTATTGCTAGGATTGACGGATAGAAATATTACGGACGAGACGCGACCAGATTATACGGACGCGGACACGACTTATTGCTAGAGTTTCCAACGCGGACACGCGTACGGGCGCCCTGAGAAGGGCGAGCTCCGTCGGGCGCCGGTGACTTTCAGGTAGGACCCGGTGACCGAGGACGCTCGGCCTGCACGACGAGAACGCTCGTCGGCCGGGGTGATTTACGGACAGGACCCGGTGACCGAGGACGCTCGGCCTGCACGACGAGAACGCTCGTCGGCCGGGGTGATTTACGGACAGGACCCGGTGACCGAGGACGCTCGGCCTGCACGACGAGAACGCTCGTCGGCCGGGGTGATTTACGGACAGGACCCGGTGACCGAGAACGCTCGGCCTGCACGACGAGAACGCTCGTCGGCCGGGGTGATTTACGGACAGGACCCGGTGACCGAGAACGCTCGGCCTGCACGACGAGAACGCTCGTCGGCCGGGGTGATTTACGGACAGGACCCGGTGACCGAGAACGCTCGGCCTGCACGACGAGAACGCTCGTCGGCCGGGGTGAGTTACGGACAGGACCCGGTGACCGAGAACGCTCGGCCTGCACGACGAGAACGCTCGTCGGCCGGGGTGATTTACGGACAGGACCCGGTGACCGAGGACGCTCGGCCTGCACGACGAGAACGCTCGTCGGCCGGGGTGAGTTACGGACAGGACCCGGTGACCGAGAACGCTCGGCCTGCACGACGAGAACGCTCGTCGGCCGGGGTGATTTGGAGTGTGGGAGTTGAGGAGTGATCCCTGAGTACGCTCGAGGGACCAGGACGGGACTGGTGTCGAAGTCTCGGCTGCGCCGCTCTTTATACCCGTCGGCCACCCCACTCTAAGACTAGCTTGGAGGGGGTCGAGTGACGGGTGGGGGCGAAAAGGCGGATTCCCAACGTATTCGTGTGGTGGCCCCGAAAGGGGCCGTTTACACGAGCGCGGGCGACTAGTGACGGCTAATCGGGTCGTCACATCACCCTCCTTTTCTAGGGGGGGGTGGCTATTCGACGGATCGTTCGCGGTCTTCCTCGTCGGTCGAATCTGATGATCCACCGGCCCGTCGGGGTGCGTACCTTATACCGCCGTGAGATGGTGGCGGCGTGGTACGGTATGTCGACGGTTTGGCCATCCCCCAGAGTGACCTGGATGGGTCGTGGCGGTCCCGGGCGTGGTGCTGGCACTGGTGGGGCCTGGCCGGTTGGAGGTCGGCGTGGTGCCGGTTGGGGTGGCTCCCTGGCTGGTGGCGCGACAAGGGATCGCACCTGTTGGCCTGTGTTGGCGCGATGCGCTGGCTGGTCCGCTTCGTCAGGCGTCGCTGACTGGCGCGTGGTGGCTGGCGGTGCGACAGCGGATGGCGTGTGTCGGCGGGTGCCGGTTGAGGGAACCGATCGGTTCGCGGATGGTCGAGCGGGCTGGCGTGCGCTGGCCGGTGTCGTCGTGGGCCTGGTGACGCCGGCGACGGTGGAGGCCGGGGAGTCGGAGAGGACCGGTGGTCGTCGATGCCGGGTGTTCACCGGGATAGGTCGGCGTCTGCCCGGGGGAGGCGGAGGTGCCTCCAAGAGCACCAAGTTCCGACGTCGCTGCTCGGCGTCGGACCGCTGGATGCGGGTCCCTATTCCCGGTACTGGCCGGGTGGTTCGCCCGGAAACGGGCAGATTTCGTCCGGAAACGGACGGATTTTTTTTTGAGCGCTGGTTTGCTTCTTCGTTTGGTGTTTCCATCGTGACGGGATGAGTTCCGACCCAAGGGTGCCCGTTCTTTATACCCCTCGGTGATCTGGACGCGGACCATGAAGAGTGCCGCTCCCGGTGCGGGACCGGGTGGCAAAGCGCGGACCATGAAGAGTGCCGCTCTCGGTTCGGGACCGGGTGGCAAAGCGCGGACCATGAAGAATGTCGTTCCCGGTATTCGGCCAAAGATTTTCGACAAGACGCGGACCATGAAGAGTGCCGCTCCACGTATTTTGATTCGAAACCGCGAACATGCCTAACGGTTGACCGGCGGCGTTAATCGGCGCGCGTTGCTCGGGTATCGGACTAGGGTTCGGTCGCAGGACGCGGTTCGGAGGCGGATTTCAAGTCCCTCACGTGGACGTGCCGATGCCATCGACCTCGGTCGTCCTTCAGGTCCACGATGACGGGGGAGATGATGCGTCTGATCGTCAACGGGCCACCAAATCTTGGTGCTAGTTTGGCATTAAAGCCGCGCTCTTTGTTCGATAACGGGTGCTCCTTTTTCCATACTCGGTCTCCAACTTGTGGACGCCAGTCGCGTCGACGTAAATCGTAGTTTCGCTGTTGATGTTGGAAGGCGCGGGCCAGGTTGATTCTGACAATTTCGTAGGCGTCTTCGAGTCGACGTCGAACTGTTTCAGGAGCGTTGCTGGTCGTTGCCGGGCGGCGGTCGTCGGGATGCGGTGATTGTAACTCCCGGCCGTACATCAGAAAGGCCGGGGTGTATCCCGTGGATTCTTGTCGTGCGGTATTGAAAGCGAACTGGAGCTGGGGAATGTGTTCATCCCAACGGCGATGTCGGCCTTCCACATATTGCGCCACCATGGTCTTTATGGTGCGGTTGGCTCGCTCGACCGGGTTGCACTGCGGTGCGTAGGCGGGGGCGGTTCTATGCTTGATCCCGAAGGATCGTAGTAATCCCTCGAGCTGGTGCGATCTCAACTGAGTCCCGTTATCAGAGACGATGGTGTCCGGGCAGCCGTGACGATATATAATACGTCCAGCTACTTCTCGTGTGACGTTGGCGGCGGTGGCTTGGCGGAGCGGCGTCATCTCTATCCATTTGGAGAATCGATCCTGCATGGTCAGCAGCCAGGTATGGCCACTGGTCGATCGTGGCAATGGTCCGACCAGATCAATGGAGACCTGTTGCCACGGGTGCGTGACGTTGGTGGCTCGAAGTTTCCCGGCCGGCAAGGTTTGTGCGGCCTTGTGGGTGGCGCAGTTTCGGCAGTCACGGACGTATCGAGTGACGTCGCGGAACATTCCTGGCCAATAATATAAGCGCGCTACTCGTGCGATGGTCTTCGCAATGCCAAAGTGTCCGGCGGTCGGGTCGTCATGCAGTCGGTGCAGTATTTCCGCGCGCTGGGGTTTCGGGACGCACTGTTTCCATTGCTCCTCGCTTGGCGAGTCGTGGAAGTTGAGATCATGCAGGATGTGTCGATGCAACTGTCGGTTCTGGATGCGGTAGTCCGCATGTTCGGCCGGGTGTTGTTGTACCTGGTGATAAAGGCGGCGGTACCATTGACAGTCTGGAGCGGCTTGTATGACACAGGCCTCGGGTTGACGAGAGAGAGCGTCGGCCACGATGTTCAGTTTTCCTTTACGATACCGGATGTCATAGTCGTACTGCTGAAGCTCGAATACCCATCTCCCTAGGCGACCGGTGGGAGCTTCCAGTCTCTGCAGCCATCGAAGCGACTGGTGATCGGTGACAACCGTGAAGTGATAACCCTCCAGATAGTCGCGCATTCGACGGATTCCCCACACTACCGCCAGACATTCTAGCTCTGTAGCGCTGTAGTTCCTTTCTGCGCTATTTAGTGTACGGCTGGCGTAGGCAATGACGCGTTCGCCTTCGGATAGTTCTTGGGTGAGCACGGCACCTAGCCCACACGTGCTGGCGTCGGTCTGGAGGGTGAATGGTCGGCTGAAATCGGGACAAGCAAGAACTGGTGCGGTGGTGAGCGCCCGCTTCAGCTCGTCGAAAGCCTTTTCTTCTTCTGGTCCCCACGCAAAACGTGCTCTTTTTTGGGTCAAGCGTGTCAACGGTGCGGCGGTGGTGGAGAAGTCTGGTACAAAACGGCGGTACCAGGAGGCGACGCCGAGGAATTGGCGCACTTGACGTACGGTTGTCGGGGTCGTCCACGCGGCTACCGCGCTGACCTTGTCTGGGTCAGTTCGAATGCCGTCTTTGTCCACTATATGCCCCAAATATTTGAGACGGCTGCAACAGAAGTGGCACTTCTGTGGGTTAAGGCGGAGGCGCGCTTGTCTCAACCGTCTGAAGACCTCGGCCAAATGTTCCATATGGGTCTCCAGTGACGAGCTGACTACGATGATGTCGTCGAGGTAGACCAATACGTGTGGCTCGAGTTCCGGGCCGAGGACACTATCCAGCAACCGCTGGAACGTGGCCGGTGCCGAATGTAACCCAAAAGGCATGACTTTAAATTGGTAGAGTCCTCGCCCAGGAATTGTAAAGGCGGTGGCTGGACGGCTGACCGGATCTAGTGGCACCTGCCAATATCCGTCCTTTAAGTCTAGTGTTGAAAGGTACTGGGCCCCTCGGAGCTTATCGAGGGTAGCGAGGATGTGCGGCAGTGGGTAGGCATCTTTGTCGGAGGCTTGATTCAACTTGCGGAAATCGATACAAAATCGGTGTCCTCCATCCTTCTTCTTGACGAGGACTACGGGGGAACTCCAGGCGCTGTTGGACGGTTCGATCACTCCGGCTTCCAACATTTTATTCACCTCGCTATCAATGACGGCCTGCATGGCCGGATTACGGGGTCGGTATCTCTGCTTTATTGGGGCTCCAGGCCGCAATCTGATCTGGTGTTTGGTGCGATCGGTGGGCCCCTGCACGGACTCAAATAACCGGAGTTCGGTATCCAAGAACTGCCGGAAACGCTGGTCTTCCTCTGGTGAGCGTGGGGAGATTCCGGCGGACAGTTTGCCGTAGACAGACGCCACCTGGGCCGGAGCCGTCCTCCCTGGTCGGTTGGATGGGGGAGGCGGCAGCGTAATGCGTAACCGAGCCCATAGGTCGACTCCGATTAGTACCTCGCTGCTGAGGTTATCCAGGACCTGGAAGCGGTGGCGGACAGAGCGAGGGCCGACTCGGATGGCGAAGCGGATCGAACCGGAGGTGGGTGCCTTGGAGCCGTCGGCTAAGTTGACCGGTTCTTCGGACGGCTGGATCTGGAGGCCGCGATCAGACAAGCGTTTGGCCATGGCGGCGTTCACAAACGACACTTCGGATCCGGAATCGAGAAGTGCCCAGGTGTTGAATCGGTGAATCTGGACTGGTAAATGCGGCCGCGGTGTGTACTCTATCTGGACGCGGGTCGGACGATGGCCGCCTCGTTTCCGACCCGCCGGTCGTTTTCCGTCGGAGGGTGGCAGTCTCGCGTTAGGACGCCATCCTTCCCGCACTGCGAGCAGAACTTCCGTGCTGGGCGGCGACAGTCGAGTCGTGTGTGCCCTCGCTGTTTGCATCGCCAACAGCAACTCGCACGGTCATAGGTAGTGGCGGCAAGATTCGCCTCGGTGGACCGTAATGTTTCGCGGCGTTGTTCTTGGCGACGCCGGTGGATTTCCTCCCACTCGGCGGCACGACTGCATAGCGCGGAAACGGAGTGCAGTTCGTCCAATCGAACGTATAGCTGGAGTTCCGGGTCGGCGTTTTCGTATAATTGCTCGAGCCGTTCCTGGCTAGTGTAGCCGCCAGCCCGACGCATCATTGTCTGTACGGCGGTAGCGTATCGCGTAAACGCCTCTCCTGGCTTCTGTCGCCGGCCTTGTATTTCCCGTCGTAATTGTCGTTTGTACCCGGGTGATAGATACTGGGCCAAGAAATCCTTTCGGAACCCGGCCCATGTGGACCACTGTTCTCTGGTGTTTCGCCACCACAGAAGGGCGTCGCCCTTTAACAGCTCGGACAGACCGGTGAGAAGATTGTGGTCTTCCAGACCATAGGCCACACTGAGTTCCTCCAGATGCTCGAGGAAAGCGAGGGGGTCCTTACCATCAAAATGGCATCCCCATTTGCGTATCTGGTTGAGGGCCTTAGCCGGGTCGGCTTCTGGTGGTTCGGGGGTTCCGCGTGCACTCCGGTAACGTTCTTCGCGGCTAAGCGGTGCGTGGAGCGTTTCGGCCGCTCCGGTGTTTGGCTGATTGGCCATTACGTGGTCTCTTATGCGGCGGCGGAGGTCGATTAATCTCCCTTCTGGGTCTAGATCGCGGGTGGCGAGGTATCGGACGGCTTCCTCTTTATCTAGGCGGTAGATCCACCCAAGCATGTGGATTGCAAACCGGAGTCTCAGACGGTCGAGTCAGGTCCCTGTTCGGGCGCCATGTAACGAAGCACCTTTCCCGACGCCACGGATCGGCTCGTCGGTGCCAGGATTCGGGAAGAGGGGAGACTCAGATTTACAATGACACACGGTTGCTCTGGTAAAAGTAGAGTTTATTCGGGGCCACCTTCCTGTGGTTCTCCCGTGATTCAAACCATTATACACAGCACAGTATAATCGGACGAAACGCGACCAGATGATACAGACGCGTACACGACTTATTGCTAGGATTGACAGATAGAAATATTACGGACGAGACGCGACCAGATTATACGGACGCGGACACGACTTATTGCTAGGATTGACGGATAGAAATATTACGGACGAGACGCGACCAGATTATACGGACGCGGACACGACTTATTGCTAGGATTGACGGATAGAAATATTACGGACGAGACGCGACCAGATTATACGGACGCGGACACGACTTATTGCTAGAGTTTCCAACGCGGACACGCGTACGGGCGCCCTGAGAAGGGCGAGCTCCGTCGGGCGCCGGTGACTTTCAGGTAGGACCCGGTGACCGAGGACGCTCGGCCTGCACGACGAGAACGCTCGTCGGCCGGGGTGATTTACGGACAGGACCCGGTGACCGAGGACGCTCGGCCTGCACGACGAGAACGCTCGTCGGCCGGGGTGATTTACGGACAGGACCCGGTGACCGAGGACGCTCGGCCTGCACGACGAGAACGCTCGTCGGCCGGGGTGAGTTACGGACAGGACCCGGTGACCGAGAACGCTCGGCCTGCACGACGAGAACGCTCGTCGGCCGGGGTGAGTTACGGACAGGACCCGGTGACCGAGAACGCTCGGCCTGCACGACGAGAACGCTCGTCGGCCGGGGTGAGTTACGGACAGGACCCGGTGACCGAGAACGCTCGGCCTGCACGACGAGAACGCTCGTCGGCCGGGGTGAGTTACGGACAGGACCCGGTGACCGAGAACGCTCGGCCTGCACGACGAGAACGCTCGTCGGCCGGGGTGATTTACGGACAGGACCCGGTGACCGAGGACGCTCGGCCTGCACGACGAGAACGCTCGTCGGCCGGGGTGAGTTACGGACAGGACCCGGTGACCGAGAACGCTCGGCCTGCACGACGAGAACGCTCGTCGGCCGGGGTGATTTGGAGTGTGGGAGTTGAGGAGTGATCCCTGAGTACGCTCGAGGGACCAGGACGGGACTGGTGTCGAAGTCTCGGCTGCGCCGCTCTTTATACCCGTCGGCCACCCCACTCTAAGACTAGCTTGGAGGGGGTCGAGTGACGGGTGGGGGCGAAAAGGCGGATTCCCAACGTATTCGTGTGGTGGCCCCGAAAGGGGCCGTTTACACGAGCGCGGCGACTAGTGACGGCTAATCGGGTCGTCACATATGTATAATTTTATATATTTCTATATAATTTTATATTGTTATATATAAAAATGTTTCTAGGAAAAATAAGATATTTTATGGTGACTTTGACTTTGACGTAGGGGTCAAATTTAGAGGTCATTTCAAGATCAACTTTTATTAAACAAAACCCTCTATTTTTATTAGATATTCTTGTAGCTTATCTCGAGAATTTTCCAAAACACTAATAAAATATTTTTGATGTACTGATTGAGTTATAAAGGTTTGAAGAGAACAATTCTTTTATAAAATTGACAATATCTTGTAAAACATTCAATTTTCATTATACATTTATACTTTTTATGCACGGAATAATAAGACCAATCAATAGGTGCAAAGAAAACACAGTTGCAAAAGACGTATGTAGTTTTCAAGAAGCAACTGCCCAGCAAACTTTATAATTGCTATATAACACGTAAATAACGTGCATGTAACATGTAACATACACGTTAGTTGTAATTTCCCACTTATGGATTCTATTATTTATTGTAATTATAGATAGGATAGTGACTTAGCGAAAGATTATCTTTCGGCATCCTACAATATCGATGCTATCTGGGATGTAATTACAATATATAAATAACATATGTCATATTACAAATGTTACATCTATGAATGAGAAATTACCGTATATGTTACATGTAACATGCACGTTATATAGTATTATATACATGTAACATAGCAGTTATATTTTGTGTTTGCTGGGTGCATTTTCTTTATACCAAATTGGTCTCATTATTATGTGCATAATAATAAAAAGTATGATAACGTAAAACTGAAAATTTTACAAAGATATAATTTTATGTCAAACAATTGCTTCGAATCTTTATAATTCAAAAAGTACTTCATGAAAAAATGTTTTATTATAATGCTTTGGAAAGCTGTCGAGATAAGCTACAAGAATATCTAATAAAAAATAAAGGTTTTTAAAAAGTTGACCTATAAATGATCTCAAAATTTGACACCTAGGTAAAAGTCAACACCTTTAGTATTTTTTTCATAAGACCACTATTTTCGAAGATAATTGGCCATTGCCAGATTTTTTAATCACCATGTACATATTATATATATGTTTATGCATGGATATATGCATCTATATACATGTATATATATGTATATATTTCTTACATATATAAATGCATGCATAAATGCATACATACCATATACATATACAAATACATATACACATACATGTATACACATACGTGTATGGTATAAGCATACGTGTATGGTACGTATATTGATATTACCTGTAATTTTCTATAAATTACAATGTATGCAGTACGCACAATTCGCTTTTCTTCTCTTATCAATAATTGAGAAAATAGCAAATATATTCAAATAACTAGCTGTATATTTTTATATAATATAACAGAATATTATATAATATACAAAACATTTTTATACATATATAGAATGAAATGGGCCCCTCCATCGCCCATTCCCGTGAGAACGCAACCATAATATATGTATTTTTTTCGTCTCTCCGATTTTTGCAAATGAGACATTTGTATTAGACACTTTTTTGCAACAATATTTATTAGAATTACACATTTCTAGTATAATGATAAAATTTTATTAGTTAGGAAAAGGTGACAGTTTATTTTCTGCTATAATTTTTAAGAAATGTTGTCTCATACGTTTAACATCAGCAGAATATGTCTCATTACAAGGATTTTCTCCTAAAGCTATAGTTGTAGCAAATGCGGCAGCAAAGATTCCACAACATATACCATCAGGTTGTGTTTGAACGTTTTCAAATATTATATTATTTTTATTTATTTGTGGATAACGGCGATGAATGTAATTTTTTTCTTTAGCCTTCAATGTTTCGTATGTACAGCCAGATAGATTGTCGTACACTCGAAGCTTGATGCCGTCAAAAAAAATACATCGCCAGTGATTACTGCAATTTTCTCCAATAATTTGTAAGCTTTTGTCGTTACAACTTGCTTCAATTATATGAGGATATAAAATATCTTTTTTTTTAATAACTAGAACGCACATGCAAATCGTTCTGGGAGAAGATATTTTAGAAACAACTAACAGACGAATAAATCGTCTCTGATATAAAATATCTTTTTTTAATAACCAGAACGCACATGCAAATTGTTCTGGGAGAAGATATTTTAGAAGCAACTAACAGACGAATAAATCGTCTCTGATATAAAATATCTTTTTTAATAACCAGAACGCACATGCAAATCGTTCTGGGAGAAGATATTTTAGAAGCAACTAACAGACGAATAAATCGTCTCTGATATAAAATATCTTTTTTTAATAATCAGAACGCACATGCAAATCGTTCTAGGAGAAGATATTTTTAAAGCAACTAACAGACGAATAAATCATCTCTGATGTAAAATATCTTTTTTTAATAACCAGAACGCACATGCAAATCGTTCTGGGAGAAGATATTTTTAAAGCAACTAACAGACGAATAAATCGTCTCTGATGTAAAATATCTTTTTTTAATAACTAGAATGCACATGCAAATCGTTCTGGGAGAAGATATTTTAGAAACAACTAACAGACGAATTAATCGTCTCTGATGTAAAATATCTTTTTTTAATAACTAGAACGCACATGCAAATCGTTCTGGGAGAAGATATTTTAGAAACAACTAACAGACGAATAAATCGTCTCTGATATAAAATATCTTTTTTTAATTACCAGAACGCACATGCAAATCGTTCTAGGAAAAGATATTTTAGAAGCAACTAACAGACGAATAAATCGTCTCTGATGTAAAATATCTTTTTTTAATAACCAGAACGCACATGCAAATTGTTCTGGGAGAAGATATTTTTAAAGCAACTAGCAAACGAATGGATCATCTTTGGCATGAAATATCTTTTTTTGTTACTACTGCAACTTTATAACTATTATTATTACTATTGATGATTTAGTTGTATCTAACTACTGCTCTGTTTTGATAATAATAGCATTATTATGTATTCAATCTCTAAAATACTTTTATATAAATCATTTATTACAAAGAATTATTTACTTTATAATCAATTATAATTATTATAGATAGGCCTGTTTATACACATACACATATATATTGTGTGTGTGTGTATGTGTATAAACAGGCCTATCTATAATAATTATAATTGATTATAAAGTAAATAATTCTTTGTAATAAATGATTTATATAAAAGTATTTTAGAGATTGAATACATAATAATACTATTATTATCAAAACAGAGCAGTAGTTAGATAAGAATAAATTATATAAATCATTTATTTATTACAAAAATTATCTACTAAAACTTTGTAATTATTATATTCATAAAAGATTTTTATATATTTTTAGATTATAAATTTAATTATTTTTACTTTTGTAATGTACAATATTTTAAAAAAATCATGTATACGTGTGCATATATAAAAGAATGCAATGTAGAAAAGAGAAAAGAGACAGATAGATCGATAGATAGATAGATAGATATAGGTTGATCGATAGATGATAGATAGTTCGATAGGTAGACAGATTGCTAAATAAATCAATAGATATGTGTATATATTATATATATGTGTATATATATATATATATATATATATATATATGTGTATGTATGCATATATAGAAAATGTATATAAATAAACTAACCTGTACATCCAGCCCTTCTTGAAGGAAACTCTACGTTTCGAAAGGGGCAAATGTTTGGCGTCATATTTTCGTCCCATAGTGTGGACAACACACAACTCAAGTATACGCTGCTTTTTACGCGTATGAACGTGCATAGCACCGCGCGACGTGAGTGAGGCGTCGCACAGTAGATCATATCAACGTATAATACGCGCGGATTTCTGTGGTACATACATACTACTGATACCGCGCAAATACGAAAGATCTGACGCGCATTTTTACGTACATAATAAATCGGAATATTTGATAAAAAAATATATATATAAATATATGATGAAAATATATATCCTAAAAAAATCATAAAAATGAAAAGGTCAGGCCATGTTCAAAAGAAGGTACTCAAAATTTAAACGATCTAATAATAAATTATCACGAAAAGTAACTGATATGTTCAAGGTGCCAGTTCAAAGTGAACATACGTAAAGTGTATATTATCTAAATTTAGTAATAATACATTACCATGAAAAGTAACTGTGATATTTTATTCAAGGTGCAAGTTCACATTGAATATACATACATATAAGTAAAACTGATTACAATTTGATTCTAGAAAATAAGTGCGATATGTTATTCTTAGTGCACAAAATATAATAGTCGTTTATAGAGATTTGATTTGAAATTCATACTAGCCCGTACAATGAAAAATAATTGCTCGTAATTCCAGAGTACCAATTTGTTAATGACTCAGAAAAATAACATGGCGGCCTGCTCTCAAAAAACTATGATGTTTCTCGATGTCCAAAGAATTGCAAAGAATTATTTTTCCTATAAACATAATTTTTGAGAAGATAATATTTTTTATTATTATAAAGAACTATTTTTGCTGGCGAAAGATATAACTTAGCGCTTTTTTTTTTACATCTGTGATGTCTTTTTTTGTGGGATTTCACATATTTTTGCAAAGATTATTAAATAAAATGCATTAAATAAATGTATATTTTTTTATATTTATAATATTAATGTAAATATATAAAGTAATATTAATAATAATAGTAGTATTAGTAGTAATAGTAATAATAGTAATAGTAATAGTAGTAATAGTAATAATAATAGTAATAATAATAATAGTAATAATAATAGTAATAATAATAGTAATAATATAATAGTAATAATAATAATAATGTAATAATTATAATAATAATATTAATTCAAATAATAATTTTTAATTATTGTATGGCGGCCACCGCGACCACCGCGGCCACCGTGACTACCGCGGCCGTTCTGTCCGCGACCACGGTCATGAAAATGGCCCCCTCGTTGCCGATACCATCGGGCCCTCGCTCGCCCGGCTCCTCGTCTATATCTGAATAAATCTGAAATAGTAAAATTGTATATATTACATGTATACGTGTGTGTTTAGAAAAAAAATTATAGACAACACGTACTTTCATTGTACAGCTGCGGCTGCGACTGCGACTGCGGCTGCGGCTGCGACTGCGGCTGCGGCTGCGGCTGCGGCTGCGGCTGCGGCTGCGATTGCGGCTGCGACTGCGGCTGCGACTGCGGCTGTTGCTGCGGTTGCTGTTGCGAATGCTGCTGCGGTCGCTGTTGCGGTTGCTGCTGCGGTTGCTGTTGCGGTTGCTGCTGCGGTTGCTGTTGCTGTGGCTGCAGCTGCCGCTGTGGAGCAATGCTCCTCTGCTGGCGTTGGATCGCCTGCAGCTCTTGCCGCGTATGTCGCTGCTCCTCCAGCATTTGCCGGAGAATGAGCAGCATCGGCTCTTCGTCCGTCTCCATTAATAGATCATCTGATTTTTCTAAAAAAAATATAATAATTTTACATAATTCTATTTAAAAAAGATGTACGGCAAGATAAAAAAGTGATTAATTATAATTATTATACAAAATTAATAATAAATTATACTTACGAGACATATCTATGCGTTGCTACCTCAATCGTAGTAAACAAAGTGAATTTGAATCAAAATGTAATGCCCGCCACCTTTTAAAAGTGAAATAGTACGACATACGTACGACTATGTCTAGGGTGAATCAAACTCAACAATTGGCTCACCTGTTCTAACCTACTTACTGTTTAAAAAATATATGACAAAATTTATGTTTTCGATTGGGGCTGTATGGCGGAGTGGATAAGTGCGGGGCTAGTAACCATGAGAACTCAGGTTCAAAACCCCATGCTGTTAAAATTTTTTTTCTAATTTTTTTATTATTTTATATGAGAGGTACATGTAATATTATTATCGCAAATATTCTGAATCATATTTTTTTAATACTTTTTTATTTAATTTCAGAATCTTAATGAAATGAAAATATTTATGTAAATGAAATATATTCACGTGTTCATTATATAAAACAAAACAAATTACATTAGAAGATAAATTGTACCATATGAAATAGAAGATTTATTATGCAGTATGTCCACATTATATATATAAGAGAAAATTATCAAAATTAAATTAGAGAAAAGAAGGAATCAAAAAGCAGAATTTTCTTCAGATAAGTTTTATAAAACAATCCTATTCCAACTTTGAATATTAATTTGAATAAGGATACTTTGTGTTGTATTTCTTTATTATTTTCAGTTAAGTTAACACATCATATATTTAATTTAAATTGATGCATACAAAGGATACACATGCAAAGGATAAATGCAAAGGAAATTAAACATACAATATAAAAGAGTCAAAAAAGGATAAAGAATAAATAAAGAAAAAAAGAAAGAAATAGTGCAATTATGAACAATAAAATAGGTATGTTTATAATATTGACATTTTTTCTTTTTATTATTATTATAGTATATACATATATATATATACAATATATATATATATATATATATATCATGTTTAGTAATATAACATCACACTCACATTCAATTCAAATTGATACTCACATACAAAGAATAAATTTTAATATAACGAGTAATATATGTTTATATCTCTGCTTTTTGTAAAGCGATAAAAGATTATTAATATTAATACATATATTAAAGTTATATTTATTAATACTTATTAAAGTTAACTTATTCAAATTATATTTTAATAATAATCTGTTATGAAATATAATATTTTTTAATACTACCTATATATTATATAATTTTTGTATATATGTAATAATTTTAATTCTTTTTTGACACAAACATATACGGATTACACATGTATACATTTGTATTTAGAAACAACGAAATTAATGATGATTTTCCACACCACCTATATGAGGTACCATCAATGGCGCGTTAGGTTTTTTTAAATAGACCTTCGCCTGGAGCCATATTATACCACATTATATTACATAATATTGTACTATATTTCTTATTTATAAATGTAATGTCTTTCACAAAATATTTTTTACACACTTGTCTTTTAAAGATGATATTTTTACATACTGATTTTTTACAAGTACGACATCTATTACAGACAAATTTTATTTCATATACATATATATAATTAAGTGAGCAAAACTATTATTACATTATAAAAATAATAATGTCCATTTATATAATTTATTTTATTTTGAAAAATATCATTCTATACATCATTAGCTAATGAAATACTAGGATTATTATCGGTAACATATAACGTTGAACTATGCTTTCTTTTTTAGGACAAATAGAATATAATTTGTACCCTTTATAACAAATGCTTTACATTTATTAATCTTCATGTCCAGAAGAAATTTTTTTCTTGCTTTTATCATTGATTTTAACACACAACTAACATTTATATATTCGCACAAAAGTTTATTTCAATTTTTTTTGTTTTTATATCTGATAGCATAAAACATTTTTTCTGAATTACAATTGGAAAGTTATCTAAGAGCATTCAAAAGAAACTTTATATTGAGATACTTGTGTTTTGAAATTTATTTTCACATCTCATCAAAATTTATTTATTTTTTATTTTTGATAAATGTTCTTTTTCTGCTACTTGTAAAATGTAGATGTAATATTATATAATTCCTTATATAATTTTTAAAGCATTGTTATTAATACCACCGAGGATTTAAATGAAAAAGAAAATATCATTAAATAATGTTTCTTTATCAATACTATATGTAGAATACTATATCTTGTTGGAAAATTTTTAATCTATTTTTAATGGATAATTTTTTACTAATTTCCTCGGTAGCAGTTATACAAAATTGTAGATAATTCTCTTGAACATTTCTAAATATGCCTGCGTGTTCTTCTTTCATTAATTTCTCGCGAGACATTTTTTTACAAATATTAGATTAATATCACTTACTAATTGCTGTAATTCTCTACTATCTATTTTAGAAAATCTAAAATTAATATCACATCCTTTTTATAAAAGCTGATTTTCAAATAATTTGGAAAATTATTATTAAAAGTTGTAATGACTTTGGCTGCAACAATTAAATGTTTGTTTCTAGAACTTGGAAAAATTAAAAAATTTAAACTATGTTTTAGAAATAGGAAATATGCCACACATTAGAATTTTATATTAGAAATATATCAGAAATAATAAATATTGTCTTGATTTTTTTATTTTTGATTCATAATCTTTTTGGTCAAGAAAAAGTTTTATAGTATCCCAAAAATTTAAAAGTCATATATGAATGATAAGATAGCCACTGTTTATTGGATTATTATTTATATATTTATATTTATCCATTGTGATTCTTCTTTTACTCTTAGATACAATATTAAATAATATAATGTAGTATATGGCGCCAGACAACAATTCACTTTTAAAAACTTAATATGCCAATGGTGGTACTTCATGGATGATGTGGATAATCGTTGATCATTAATCATTTTATTGTTTTAAGATACAAACGTATATATATTGTCAGTATACATGCGTGCAATTAAAAAATTATATAAATACACACACACGCACACACTATTTTTTTTATATATACATGTGGATTTTATTTAATGATTTTTGTATATTTTTTAAATTCAAAATAAAATTCTTTGTGTAATATGTTACACATTTTTTTAAATTAATTTTTTTTCTTAAAATGTCAAATTATTCATATCAATGTATGATTTTAATCAATAATGATTTCATTAATAAGTATATCGTGAAGCTTAATAATTTATTTAAATGTTTACATTTTTGTATCGAGCACTAGTGTATCTTTATAATTATAAGGAATATTTATTAATTATTATAATTTAGAAATTTAATAAACATTCTATTAATTCCTCTATTTTTTATACATATATATTAATATCACTGATATGTGAGAATATTATATAACATATTAATAGATAAAATTTACTCACATTGTTCTAAAAACAATATATATAAATTCTTACCACCTCGTGGCCATTGTTTACATGAAATGGATTCATCATTAACATAAAACCATTTTGATTTATTACTTTTATAGTCTCTTAACATGTTTGTGTAATGACCTTCATGTAAATTATTTCCATGATGAAATATTGCACTAACGACTTTATAAAAGTTTGTTCCAATAGATATTTTGGCAGTTGAAAGACTTTTAATGTTACATTTATTTATAATTCTAGATGTGTCTTTATCATTTGATAAAAATATCATCAATTGCATTACAATTATTTTTTTAAAAGAACATATATCATATTTAATAAGCAATTGATTGTTTTCTTTGCAATTTTCACACATTCCTTCGACAGATATCCAATGAGAAAAGTTGTGTTTCATTAAATATTGCATATCTATGCTCTGTTTTAGATTTGTGGGAATAGTTAGTGTAGCTATTATATTTTTTTGCTTATTAACGTTTGTGTAATTACATTTTTTGCAATGGATTGTTGTAGAAAAGTCGTGTTCAATGATATCTTTAAGAATTGTAATCTTTGCACAGAGCGCTATTAAAAATTCTGCCGCATCTCGTTGAACATTCAGTAAAAATGAATTACCAAGAAATTGTCTTATACTCATACTGTTTAATACATTCTTGTCACCAATATAATCGTTAATTAATTGCTTCATAACATCTGTTTCATCGTGTTGTAATAATAATTTTCTAATAACAGTATTATGTACAATACATTGTAAAACGGTATTTGCATAGCAGGAAACATTATCTGTATTGATAAAGCCTTTAATGGACGTTAATGAAATATTTTCAAAATTTGTTGATTCTTCATAAATTTCCTGTCCAGCAAGAAATCGGACAGACACTGTCCATTGTCGATCTTTAATCTTATTACATTGATTTTTTTGCATAATAATGCTTTCTATATCTTGACGATATAAGTTTCTTAAACGATTATATTCAACAATGGCTAATTCATTAGCTTTTACAGATCCTGGATCAAAATTTATCAAATGTAATCCTTCTATAGATGTGACTCGTGACAATGCCACATATGTTTGACCGCAACTGAAAATAAGATTTCCTGCATCAATAACAACCGAATTCAAACTTAAGCCTTGACTTTTATGAATTGTTATTCCATAACTAAGTGACAATGGAAATTGTTTTCGAATAATGTATGCTTTGTCCATTACTTCAAATTTGACACTTACACGTTCTATATCGAATTCTTTTCCATTCGATAAAGCAATTGTTAATGTATTTACATCCTTATTATCAATATCACGTAAACATTTCGTAATTGTACCAATAGTTCCATTAACAAGTCCTAATGTGACGTCGATATTTCTACGTAGCATAATTTTTGCCCCTATTTTCACAATTATCTCATTTGACAGTCCACCAGTTTTCGTACTATCCTCATCATCTGCACCAATAATTTTCAATATTTTTTTCTTTAAATATTGTGGACAATCAATGCTATCTTGTGCTAACAATGAAATATTTTCAGAAGGTATGCGTTCCAACATTGCGGTATTAAGAACATTACATAAATTACATGTTGGTAACAAGCACACTGGATCGCACGGCAATTTTGCAATATAATTACATAATTCTTCTAATCTATCATTACATGATGTAGATTTAAAGTTTATTTTTCTCGAATTCAATGTTTCAATATCAGTATCTGTTACAATTCCAAGTCGAATTCTAGAAAGTAAATCTCTGTAACTGATATCACTTTTTTGACGCATATTAATCCTAAGTTCATCATAAGTAAACAAATCATTCCATAAATTTGTAGCTCCTAATGTTTCCAAATATTTTTCTGTCTTAGCTTTACTCATATTAATAAAAACAGACTCTTCGCGTACTGGTGGCAATTGTAATAAATCACCTAATAATAATATGTGCTTTTTCCCGAACCATCCATCATCGTCATCAAACGTGTTGAATATTTCTGTTAATCTAAGATGTATCCCACAAAACATTTAAATATTCTTAGTACATACATTGTACATACATTTACGTATATTGTATATTCCAGGTATATACTTTTTGATGTAATATACATACAATGGATGTGAAATGTATGCGCAAGTGAAACCAGGTTAATGTACATAGAAGGTTCAAAGTATATACATATGCATATGATATGTACATTGTATGTATGTATATTCTGTACATGCAATATTATTATATGTAACATGTACATATCATATATATACACATTTGTACATACATTAGATAGTAAAAATATACTGGGTACATACATTGTACATACTGTTATGTATATTGCATATTCTAGGTATATACTTTTTTAATGTAATATACATACATTAAATGTGAAATGTATGCGCAAATGAAACCGGATTAATGTACATAGAAGGTTCAAAATATATACATACGTATATGATATGTATATTCTGTACATACATTATATTATTATATGTAACATGTACATATCACATACATATATATTCCATGTATATACTTTCTTGATACAGTATACATGCAGAAAACGTGAAATGTATATGAAAATTAAACAGGGTTAATGCACCTAGATGTATATTTATGTACATTTTATGTATATGTATTTATGTATATTTTTTGTATATACTTTTTTATGCATGTAGATACATCGAATTTGAAATGTATATGTAAATGTAATAATGTACATAGAAGATGCAGAGTATATACATATGTGCATGATTAGTACAGTTTATGTATTTATATATTATGTACATACATTCTTTATATATAGCATGTACAATATCAGGGACAGCAATGTCTTAACGCATGAATTTATGCACATATATATACTCCAATATGTGCATAAATCCATGTATCTATCCCTGTGTTTGTTAAATAAACTACGTTCTGATATTCACTGAAACATCACATATACTATAGATTTTCAGTAATGACAATGAATATCAGAATACAGTTTATGTAAAAAGAGATAGGAATGTTTTAACACATGATGTAATGCACAAATTGAAGCATATATGTATGCACATAAATTCATGTATTAGGCATTGCTGTTACTGGTATGATATGTGATACAAGCTATATATATATATATATATATATATAAAGAATGTATATACAGAGTATACAATACATAAACTATACTAATTACGCGCGCGCGCACGTACACACACACACACACACACACATAACACATTTTGAATCTTCTATGTACATTATTCCAGCTACATATATAGTATATACATATTATATTATATTTAAAAAATGCATATGATGTGTGTTTCGATACAAAATTTATACAAAAAGGCACTTTTGATCTGCCTATTTGGTATATATACCAAAGGATCGCCAAAAATCGCCTTTTATAATGATTTTGTTATAGATATAAATATACAATAGTAGTTTTATTTAGTTGAATGAGTCATATGTGTCATACATGTATATAGACATTATTACATATGTGTGTGTATACATATAAAGTCGTGTGGAATGATATATTAAAGGGAAAGAGTTAATACAATAATCTATTAAAAAAAGACAAGTTTGCAATAAAAAACACTATAATTAATAATAAATTATATATATATAATTAAATATATATAATTTTACATATATAAACAGCCGAGTATATTTATACGATGCAATATGTGTTTTTTTAAACAAATTAAACGTATTAATAATTAATACAAATATATATGAATACATAATATAAATATAATGTGTGTGTTAATAACAGATGTATTTTAAAATCTATTTCATAAAATTAAAAAAAATTGCACTTTTCTTTCTTTTGTTTTATAAAATAATACAGACTAGCATTATTATTTGCACTTTTCTTCTTTCTGTTTTATCATAATACATTATTAAATATATAAATTTTTCTTTATACTATATTTTTAATTTAGTATTGTAACTTAATAGAATAGAATTGTAACCCGACAGAATATATTAAACACAAAAATTTAAAGACATAATGTTTATCTAATTCTATTCTAAATATAATATAAAAACGTAAATTTACACTATGTTAAATATATTAAGGCTCCTCAGTAGTCACCGCGGTCATATTGGATTCATGACATCAGAAGCGAGAAATGACACGTCGAAAATTCTTGCGTGCCATTTTTAGATAAAAACATGTTTGAACAAAATAACGCTACTGATCGCTTTAGCATACTTAAAAGATTGTCCGAAAACTGACCTGCTCTCTTGACACGTCATAAATAACTGAAAAATGAGTGTGAAACAAGGTCAAAAAATGCAGAAAAACTTGTAGTTTGACAACTGTTGAAAGGAAAATCAATGTTCCTTTCACGTAATATATTTCTTACACAGTTCAGTTTCCGGACAATCTTACGGGTCTCATGAATATATGACACGTCGCAATACTAGCGTAAACCTAATAATTACGAAATGGCACGCAAGAATTTTTCGCTGTCATTCTCTCTTAAAGAAAGAAACAAAACTATACAGTACATAAGAGAGAAAGAAACAGAACTATAATGTCGGCATCGTCAACTCAGAGTTTTACGGTGACTATCGAGGGGCTTTAAATATAATATACACACATATGTTCATAATCTCAAACGTGGAGTAAAACTGAAAACTTAAAAATATTTCGAATCTTGAATCTTATAGCATTTTCGAGCGAGACGGGTTTTGATCGCTCTGGAAGCGAATTATGACGGCATTGATCAATCACAGCCATTTCTCAAAAAAAAAATGAAATGATATAATTGGTCAATGACATAATTCGCTCCCGGAGCGATCAAAATGCGTCTCGCTCGAAAACGCTATTATATATTTCTGTTTCATTGCTGATTAGTTGACTCTTCAATTGCTTCAACTATTTGAAGAGCTATATTTTTGTCTTTATTATTATTAAAGCGATCCTTACTCCTTACAAGCCACGCTTTTATAAAGCCTATTATTTCTGAATCTGTACACTCTTGAGTATTTTTATTAAGACGTACAGCAGCTGTAAAATTTAATTTATTTTTATGTAATTATTTAAATATTTTCACAAGATATTATAAAAAATATATTTATATGTGTATACATACATACATACACACACACACATAATTGTACATAATATTATACAAATTTATAAAAAAAATATTGATATATGTATGCATATACAACAAATATATAATAAAATGTACTCAAAGAATTTACATGTCTAAATAAGTAACAAAGATTACAACTTTTATGAATATACATATGATGATATTTTTAAACAATATTTTAAATATTTTTGTTTTCTTGTTTTTAAAACATTAAGCAATATTATTTAATATATTTTTATTTAAAAACACTTTATTATTTATTTTTGTTAAAAAAAATTGGAAAAAACAAAAACTTTAAAACATAATTTAATAAATAAAAATTATAAAAATAACTTACAGAGAATTACAGACGCCACAGCTAAATTTTTGAAAACTTTCTTTTTCTTTGCCCCTTCCCATGAGTAGGACATACCAACTTCGTTGGTAAAAATGCGATACATAATTCTTCGAACGATTTCTTTAACGGTACATCCTCCAATGCGACTTAAATTTTGAGACTAAAACAATAAGATCATTATATTTATTTATATTTTAAATATAATAATATAATATAAATATAAAATACAAATATTAAATATTAAATATAATATAATTTTTACCGATCCTTTTAAATCTTGAAATTAAATATATAAAATATATTAAATATAATATATAATATAAATAAAATATATTACAAATTATTTAAATTATTAAAATATATATATATATATGTATATATATATTTATGTTGTCTTTATAAAATATTTAAATATAATAATATAAGATACAATTATACACATATATAATCAAGTTTAAATATTCTTTTTACTAAATTAAGTATAAATTATCTTATTAAAATATATATATACATATAATTTGTCATATTATTTATACTTTATTTACAATAGTAGAAAGAATATTTTAATTTCTTGTACCAAAATTGTTTTATTATTTTCAGATGTCATTAACCAGTTCTCCAATTCAGCCAAAGAATTATCATTTACAGGAAATGATTGCATAATTTCGGGAATTTCATTACATACAACATTTTGTACTGGATCTGCTTTATTTTTTAGTAGAACATTAATACCTTCGGAAATATCATCCATTTTCAAACTGAGAATGTGTAATTCTCTACAAATCCGTTTTCCAAATTCTAAAATGTAAATAATTAATTATAAATTATTGTTTAGTAATATTTTTTTCAATATTTTATTTACATATATACATATATATTTTTTAAATTTTTAAATTGTATTTATTTTATTATATACGTATATCTTATGTAATAAATTATAAAATATCATACGAACTATCTCACCAGAATTTAATTCCAAAGCCGGGTTTTTATGATATGACTCAACAATATTAGAAATAGGAGTACTAGTACCAGAATTAGAAATAGTATCAACAGTAACTTTAGAGTTATGAGTGTTATTTTCTATTTGATTTTTCTTTCCTAGAAAAAATATAAATTAAATATATATCTTTTTACATATAATTATATTCTCTTTTCTACATTAATAGCTGTTACAAATTTTAAGTAAGTACTGATTTAAAGTTATATCAAGAAAAAGTACAATTAAAATCTTAAATTTTTCTTATTTGTTTTTTATGTTTTCTTATATTTCTGTATTTTTTAATATTAATTATTTTTATTATAAATATTTTTTACAAAATATAATCTTAATGAATTTTTTATTATATAATTATAATATCTTATACCAACATCATATTTTTTACTTACTATTGTTTGAGTCAGTTTGTTCGTTAAAATTTGGAACGTCAGGATATAGTGCATCATCATCTGATGATGATCTATCTATTTCAGAGGAGGACGATTCACTTTCAGATTTGTTATTGCGCTTTTTAGTTTTCGTATTACGTTTTCTTTTTTCTTTCAACTCTTCATTATTAGAAGTAAGATTGTTTGTACTTTTGGCTTTGTTTGCCTTTTGATGCGCTTTTTTATAAGTGTCTGCAAAATAATAATTATTTAAATTAGTATTAATTAAAATTAAAGTAATAACTAAATATATAAATATATAAGTCAATTAAAATTTGATTAAAGAAGTGAAAAATAAATACGTAGTTGTATTTTTAATTAAAAAGTAAATTATCTTAATAAATAATATAGATATGACTATTACTTATGTAATACTCGTATAATTGCTATACATATATAAATATATACAAAAGATTTATAAAATATATATTTGTTACACAAATACACAATATAGTATGTGTGTGTGTGTGTGTGTGACAATTTATATATACTTTACCATAAGTGCCCAAACTACTCGCTCTATAAAGCATCCAATCTGTCGTAGGAAGATGTTTCTTCTTTATTAGATCTATTATGACATGTTGTACAGTGCCTTCAGGTGGCCAATAACATTGTGAATTTTTATACCATGTATTCGGAACAGCTTCTACTGTTTCTTCGTCATCAAATTTTACAACGAGCCAGGTCATCTTGTCATTATATTGTTGTTGAATATTGTAGGAATTAAGAAGTTTTACCGTTAAAATAAAATAAGTGTATCCTACCGACATGTTTATGTCTCGTCATGCGTGTTGTCGAGACAGGTTATTTGTCTAAATTTTATTATATCCCCTGTTATTTGAGCGTGTTGTGTTGTTCGTTGTCGAGACAATAGCCTTGTTATTGCGAGCGAAAATCAGCAGGTAACTGCTACGGCGACCTTCTCGAATAATCCGCGTATGTTAACCGAAAATAAAAGACTGTTGACGATTTCGGAGAGAAGGAAGGCAGAAGACCGTTTCCAGCAAAAGAGAAAAGACGTGTTCTTGCGTAGACAAGCCGCTCGAAAATCTCCTGGCGAATCACGCGAAATAAAGGAAACTGTATACGCGCATCTATACTTATATAATTAAACTGCATTTGATTGAAGTTGAATATTCATATCCTTTATTTTATTTATTTAAAATAAAATCCAAATCCGCGTTTAAACCTACAAATTTTTGGGGGCTCGTCCGGGATAATACTAAGACGTTAGGTGCGGTAGTGCTGAGTGCGGCTGCATCGGCTCTGAGTGAGCGAATGACGCTGAGTGTGGTGGACTTAGATGCGGATTTGACATTTCGGCGAGTCAACGAGGAGATAGGATGAGTACCGCAAAGAATCCGTCCGATTTTACAGTGGCGACGCTTAAGGACAAACTCAGAGTTCGTGGATTGAGTGTGGCCGGCTCAAAGAACGAACTCATAAATCGACTGATGGAGGAGGATCCTGAGGGCGGATGGCTTGCTGACGAGTTGGATGTGGGACCCGAGAGTCGGGATGCGTTCGAGATGCCCGTAGAGGAGGCGAGAGTATCGCTGCGAGAGATGGAGGTGATGAGGAGAGAGAGAGAGCTTTTGGAGAGAGAGTTGGCGTTGGCGCGGCGAGAGACGGAGTTTCTTCGAGCGAGAGAAAGAGAGAGAGAGAGAGCGGGGAGAGGCGGCCGAGCGGGGAATGGATCGGGCGGGAGGACGACAGGCGGCGGACCCGACGGAGACGACCGGGACAACGGCGCGGCCGAGCATAACTGCAATCGCCGAATTATTGGCGCACTTTGATGGAGTGAGTGGCTCATGGGAGGTCTGGGAGAAACAAGTGCGACTCCTTACGACGACCTACAGACTGCATGACGAGATGGCAAAAATTCTGATAGGCTCGAGACTGAAGGGCAAGGCGGCTGAGTGGTTCCGCTCAAAGCCCGAGCACATTGAAATATCGACGGACGGCCTTCTCGTTGCTATGAAAACTATGTTTGATCATCGCCCGAATAAGCTGGCCCGAAAGAGAGAATTCGAGGGACGGACCTGGAAGAGAGGCGAAACCTTTGGTGCATACATGCACGATAAAATCATTTTGGCAAACCAGGTGCCGATTGAGAATGACGACCTTATAGATTACATTGTGGACGGCATATCAGACTTGAATTTGCAAGACCAAGCACGAATTCAGGGGTTCACGACGACGGCATCCCTGTTGAAGGCTTTTGAGAAGGTGACTTTGCGGCCGAGAGGACATCGAGAGAGCGGTGTCGTGCTGACGGGACGATCGGACGCTGCAGTGACGGAGCGTGGAGCGCAGAGACCCCATGGAGGAGCAAGACAGTGGAGAGGCGACGGAGGAGAGAGGAATCGTCGAGATCAGAGACGCTGTTATAATTGTGGAGGACAGAATCATTTGAGTGCGAATTGTCCGACTAAGGAGAACGGCGTGAAATGCTATAGTTGCGGCGAGCGCGGGCACATAGCGGCGAGGTGCACCGGGGGGCGAGCGTTGGAAAAATTAGCTGCGTGGTAAGCGGATATTATGACGGTAAATATTATAAGAATGTATGTATAAATAATTGTAAAATTTTAGCAATGATCGATACTGGTAGCGACATGTGTTTAATGCGCGCGGAGTGTCATAATAGATTGGGCGTCCCGTTGCAGGGAAATAAGATTCATTTCCGCGGTGTCGGTTCAGATAACAATGAGACGCTAGGCGAATTTGATGCGGAAGTTAATATTGACGAAGACATTTGTCCCATGAGAATACGAGTAATTTCTGACGAGCTTATGAGATACGATCTTATTATCGGAGCTGACTTTTTAAGAACGGTAGATATTACAATAAAGAAAGGCGAAATATTAATCGTGAAACAGAGAACGGATCCCGAATTGCCGGAAATATTTCAAATCAATTGTATACGCGAAACAGACAAATTAGACGGCGCACATCTGAATAACGATTATCGGAGCACGTTAGAAAATATCATTTGTAATTATGTACCGAATAAAACGCGTGACGTAAACATCAAAATGAAATTAATCCTTAAAGACGATGAACCCGTATATCAGAGAGCGCGACGATGCTCCGAACAAGAAAAAAGCTAATTAAGCAGCAGGTAGATGAATGGGTGCGCGACGGTATCGTGCAACCGTCTTTGTCGGAATATGCAAGTCCGGTAGTCTTGGTGAAAAAAAAAAACGGCGCGTATCGGCTATGCGTGGATTATCGGCGCTTGAATCAAAAGATTATAAAGGATAGATATCCGTTGCCATTAATCGACGACCAACTAGCTCGATTGCAAGGTGCGAAGGTTTTTACCACCTTAGATTTAAAGAACGGGTTTTTTCACGTCGAAGTGGATGAAGATAGTCGGAAATTCACGGCCTTTATTATACCCGACGGGCAGTACGAATTTTTGAGAATGCCGTTCGGGTTGTGCAATTCGCCGGCCGTGTTTCAGAGATTTGTTAACGCCACCTTTAGAGATTTTATTAGCGACGGAACCGTTTTAACCTATATGGATGATTTAATAGTACCGTCAGAAAATTATGAAGACGCTTTGGAAAATCTCCGGCGAGTATTTGGTAGAGCGAGCCAGTCCGGATTAGAGATTAATTGGGATAAATGTCAATTTTTAAAAACAAAGGTAGAATTTTTGGGACACATAATCGAGTCAGGTAACGTGCGGCCGTCGGAAGCAAAAACAGACGCAGTTATGAGATTTCGCGAACCGAGGAATGTCAAACAGGTGCAGAGTTTTTTAGGCTTGTCTGGCTACTTCCGAAAATTCATTTACAATTATTCATTAATTGCGCGACCCTTGACAAATTTGTTGAGAAAGAATGTCGTATTTCGTTTTGAGGAAAATGAGAAAAATGCGTTCAACAAGTTGAAGGTAGCATTGGTCGACAAGCCTGTTCTGAAACTATATAAAATAAATGCGACCACCGAACTCCATACCGACGCATCAAAATATGGATATGGTGCTATTTTATTGCAGCGCGACGATAATAATTTATTGCGTCCTATTTATTATGCGAGTGGTCGAACCACACCGGCAGAAGAAAAATATACTAGTTACGAACTTGAGGTACTCGCGATTATAAAGTCTTTAAAAAGATTCCGCGTTTATTTGATAGGAATACCTTTTAAGATCGTGACTGATTGTAAGGCGTTTAGCTTAACGATGAACAAAAAAGATTTGTGCGTGCGAGTGGCGAGATGGGCTCTGCAATTAGAAGAGTTCAATTACACTATCGAGCATCGTCCGGGAAAATCTATGGCGCATGTCGACGCGCTAAGTCGGAATCCGTTACCGATGTGCATGTCGTGTGAGAGCGAGAATAATGTGACGTCACGAATCCGGAGAGTGCAACGTGAGGATGCGCATTTGCGGGAAATAATAGAAATGACCGAAGCGAAAAAGGCCGTCGGTTTTATAATACGAGCGGGTATTTTATTTAAAATAGACGACGACGGGGAGCGTATGGTAGTTCCGCGAGCCCTGCAATCACAAATTATTAGAAGAGCGCACGACCGAGGACATCTATCGGCGTTAAAAACCGAGCGAGTAGTGGCGAGAGAATATTGGATGCAAGGCCTGAAAGCGAAGGTCGAGAAAGTAGTTCATAATTGCGTGCCGTGCATTTTGGCTGAGAGGAAGCATGGAAAGAAGGAAGGACTGTTGCATCCGATCGAAAAGGGCGAGGCTCCCTTGGATACACTACACGTCGATCATCAGGGACCTCTCCCCTCAACGCGCAAACGATACCGACATATATTGGTGGTGGTGGATGCGTTCACCAAGTTTGTGTGGCTTTACGCGGTTAGGACCACTAATGCGGCGGAGGTTTTAGCGTGTTTAGCGAAGCAGGCGCGTATTTTTGGAAATCCGAGGAGGATCGTGTCCGATCGAGGTTCGGCTTTCACCTCTAGCGATTTTCGAGAATATTGTGAGGCGGAAGGAGTGCAACACGTCCTCACAACAACGGGTATGCCGAGAGCAAACGGACAGGTGGAGAGAGTCAACCGGACGTTGATTCCAGTACTGACAAAGCTGTCTGACCCTCGGCCGGAAGAATGGCACAAATATTTGGGCACTGTGCAGCAATATTTAAACGCCACGTCGCATAGAGGTATTGGGACAACGCCCTTCAACTTACTCTTTGGAATACATATTAGATTGAAAGACGATATCCCTATTCGTGAAATAATAGAGAAGGAATTGATTACTATTTTTGAGGAAAATCGAGATGAGACGAGAAGACAAGCCAAAGAGAGCATAAAGCGAATTCAGCAAGAGAATCGTCACGGATTCAATAAACGGAGAAAACCAGCGACAATTTATCATATCGGCGATCTCGTCGCCATTAAGAGAACGCAGGCAAAGCCAGGACTGAAACTCGCGGCGAAATACCTTGGTCCATACCGAATTAAGAAGATCCTGAGAAATGATCGATATATTGTCGAGAAAATGGGCGAGCACGAAGGGCCTTATGAAACTTCCACCGCGGCAGAGTACATTAAGCGCTGGGTAGACGAAAATGACGAAGTGACAACGGAAGAAGAAACCGAAGATATCTGAGGACAGATATTGGCGCAGAATGGCCGATTGTAGGAATTAAGAAGTTTTACCGTTAAAATAAAATAAGTGTATCCTACCGACATGTTTATGTCTCGTCATGCGTGTTGTCGAGACAGGTTATTTGTCTAAATTTTATTATATCCCCTGTTATTTGAGCGTGTTGTGTTGTTCGTTGTCGAGACAATAGCCTTGTTATTGCGAGCGAAAATCAGCAGGTAACTGCTACGGCGACCTTCTCGAATAATCCGCGTATGTTAACCGAAAATAAAAGACTGTTGATGATTTCGGAGAGAAGGAAGGCAGAAGACCGTTTCCAGCGAAAGAGAAAAGACGTGTTCTTGCGTAGACAAGCCGCTCGAAAATCTCCTGGCGAATCACGCGAAATAAAGGAAACTGTATACGCGCATCTATACTTATATAATTAAACTGCATTTGATTGAAGTTGAATATTCATATCCTTTATTTTATTTATTTAAAATAAAATCCAAATCCGCGTTTAAACCTACAATATTTTGTAACAAAAAAAAACATAAATTTCAGAAGATAAAATATCAAGTTTATAAGATCCAGCTAATCTCATACTTTGAATTATTTGTAATACAAAACAATTTTTATGATTAATAATAAACATATTTATATATTATATGAAGAAAAGAATATTATAAATTTTGACAATGAAAATTATACATTTTTTAATAAATTCAATTAACAGTAATTTACATATGTAACAATGGAAATGAAACAAGCTTGTTTTTGTAAGGTAACACTACTAATTTTCTTTTGATGAAGTCAATATTCCATACTTCAAGTGAGTTATTTTCTTTCTTTATATATTAAACATTAAATAAAGATGATGAACACGGTTTTGAGTAAAAATTATCATGCTTATTATATGTGTATCCTAATAAACATATAGCGTTTTCACAAAAAGCAAAATTTTTAATTTCCACAATAACATTATTCTTTAATTCTACAAATTTATCAGCATTATTCGAAATATCTAAATAATAATTATTTGTCTGTAATCTTCTATATTGTGGAGATGTGCAATTCTTTGTTAAAGGACCGTTAAAATGTTTTATCGATAGTTCGGTAAAAGAATCATTTTTAATATTATTAAAGTTA